TGTATATTCTTGTATAAGTAACTTACCTGCAGCTATAGATTCCCATTAAATTTTAAAAATCAACTTTAAAACCACTTAAAAACAAATACTGGTACCAAGTTAGAAGCCGACAAAAATAACTTTTACATAAACATAAATATATCATGGATGTGTATGTATAGCAATGTATGTACATGTATATCCATGTAAAACTACAGCCTGTTGCATATTTTTCTATGGCCTGCAAACTAAGAAGAGTTTCTACATTTTTAAATACTTGAGGGAAAAAACACACAAAAAATACTGCATTACACATGAAAGTTATATAAAATTCAAATTTCAGTGCCTATGAAGTTTTATTGAAACAGCTACATTCATTCTTTTATGTACTGGTTGTGACTGCTCTGAGTCCACAAAAGCAGAAATGAGTATTTCCAAAAGATATTGTTTGGCCTATAAATCTAAAATATTCAGTTTCTAGCCCCATAATAGAAAAAGTTTGCCTTAATTTGTATCTATAATACTATGTGTTACCATTAATCTCTTAGGTGTAATTCTCTAAGTGTGGCTAGACTGCTATATTTAACTATAATAAGCTTCACTGTTAGATTTCATAACAAGATCTTCCCCTAAAGCTGGTGATTTTTAGAGGAGAAGTCATTTCTGAAGAGAAACTAACTCTTCTAGTGTTCTGTAGTACAAAATTCTCAAGAGGTCAAAAGAGAACCCATCTGAAAATCTGAACCAACTCTAAGGTGCTTCTTATTAAAAATTTAACCCTGCTTTAAAAAATCCTACAGAGTCCACTAGTGAAAACAAAAGTAAAGAAATAAGAAACTAGAATTTGTCAAACACTTCTTGTGTTTCAGACATACATTATTTCTTTTAGCCCTTCATGAAGAAGGAACTACTATTATTATTTTATTAAAATAAGAAACAAGGTTGAAAGAAGGAAAGCAACTTGCTAAAGATAATAGTAATTGGCAGAAGTTGATTAGTAAAATCAAGTCTTACAAAGCCTCTATTATTTCTATTTAGTCAAGGGCTTTCCAATATTTTGATTATGGCTCATTATAAGAATTATTGTTTACTTCATGATCTGGTACACAAATACATAAACTGAAAGTTTCATGAACCAATACCCTTAAATGTGCAATACATTGTATTTTCTACTCTGTTACTTAAGAACGGATGGTCACAACCAACAAAATTTTTTTACAACCCACTAGTGAATCATCATTCCTAATTCTCATTGTTTTTTAAATTACTGTAGTAAATCTGTGTTTTTCCTTCAAACAAGAAATTTTTCAATCTACGGAAGAATATTTAGTTCTTTAAAAAGTGTGGTCAACCCTGCCACTTGTGTGCTTCCTTTTTAAAAGCAAAATGAAGAACATCTACATTTTAGATGTTTGCTGGAGGGCATCAAATGCGGTTTTGAGACATCAAATATGAGAGACATCTGAGATGAGGACTATGTTATCACTGTTTATTAATTTGCCTATCTAATTTTCATAATAATACTGCGAGGTTACCATTATTATTATTACAATGTTATAGACGAAGAAACAGACCCAGAAAGTATGGCGGGTTTGCCCCTACTGCACACTAGAAATGAGAGGCAGACCCAAGTAGCATGGCTCCAGAGTTTACACTCCTAGCCACTCTGCGGACAGATAGGGCCAATTACCACAGGACTCCATTCCCTGGTCAGATCTGAATTTAACAGAAATGACTTTTGACTTTTTGAGATTTCAATTAAGAGTTTACCGGGTAAAGAATTAGTTTCATATCTCAAACAAAAGTACTATTAAAAAGCTTTCTTACACTTTGTCATTATTCCCTAGGTAAGGGAAAATCTGGTCTCTCTAGGTATGGTAATGCTTTATTTGCATTATTTCACTAGAAAATAAAAGCTGTATAACATCTTGATTCCATTCTTGGTCAGTTTCCCTCACTGTTCAACTATGCACTTACCATTAACAGGTAACTCTTCACTGCTACACTTCATATATACCTACCTTTAATTACATTCTAAATTCATCACATTTAGTAACACTGCACTAAGAACTAGACAATTATAAATGAGACATGCTTTCACTGGGCGTAATAATGGGGAGACATACATCCAATAAATAATTTCATTATTAATAACATAATGTAAGTTGTAGAAAGAAAAAGTACTGCCTGCCTTGAGACTATATTACTACAGGAACTAATCTAGGCAATAAGGTTAGTTTATCCTTAAGGTAATAACACTTATGCTGCAGAATCATGAATGAGACAGAATCCTTCATCCTAGGCAAAGAGAAGAAATCATAGATGGCCTTGAGGGGGTAATCTATAAAATTTGGTTCATTTGACAAAACAAACTGATAGAACACATTCTATTGGTACCGGCCTAACACACACACTAAGAGCAGAATAAAAGGTAAAAAGCCGCCTTTCATACTTAGTAGAGGGTGATTATGCTCTAGATGAGAAGGAGCAGTGTGGTAGTGCTCAATTTCAACATTATGATCTTGAGGAGCTATTTCAAGAAAAGAGGTTGGGGAGAGAAAGAAAATAAATTTACTGAATTCCTTCCTTGTCCCATCTTAAAACAAACAAACAAACAAACAAACAAACAAACTGGAAGACTCTTACAAGAGGGTGATCCCTTTGATCTATTTAATGGTATCTCCAAATACCTACAAAAGAACAAAGCACTTTTAAAAATTTTCATTTCTAATCATATAAAAGGAAAAATATTGCTTCTATCTTGAAGAAACCTAGAATGCACGTGTATCAACACTACATAGGAGAGAAAACAGGAACAGGTGATCACTGAGGAAACATATCTTCCCAGTACTGTTGCCTTTGTGGTCAATCAGTACTTGTTAAAATGAATGGATAAGAAATCAGAAGGCAATCAGCATCACTACTTTAAATGTTTAAGCAATACAGTTTATGTTGTATTACAGTTTTTTTTTCTGCTTTGCTGCCTCTTTTTTTTTTTTTTTGGTTACCATGCTTTTCTAGTAAATGTTTTGGCAGGAGTTTTCCTCATAAAAATGGTTTCTCCAACATTTATACTTTACAATGTACTACGCATGTGTGAAATGTTTTGCATATGTGCACATCTCATTTAAGTCATCACTACCAGTTTGACTTTTTTTTTTTTTTTTTTAGTTTATTGGTACATTTTAGGTATACAGTATAGCTTCATTCATTATTGGCATCTTGTACCTCTACATGACAGGTCTTGGTTCTCATTTTTTCCCCTTATCCCTGCCCTCCCTTCACCCCCTCTTCCCCCCCCATTTACAAACTCTTTATTTCCATTTTTTCATTTTCTCATTTTTTCCCCCTTATTACCTTTCTCCTACCCTTCCCACTTTCCCTACACCTTTAGCCCTTTTCTTCCTATTTCACATTGTCAATTATCTCATTAGGATCTTATGTACTATTATAGTTTTTCACACCAGAGAAACTATTCGGTATTTACACATGTGTGACTTATTTATTTCACTTAGGAGTATATTCTCAATATGTATCCATTTTCTTATGAATGAATCTAATTTCTCATTCTTTATGGCTGAGTAATATTCCATTTTATAGAAAAACCACACCTTCTTTATCCAGTTTCCAACTGATGGGCAAATGGGCTGTTTCCAAGTTTTAGCTATTACAAACTTATGCATCTATGCCACAAGTGAGGGCACTGAAGCCCAAAGATGTCAAGAATTCTGAGCAAAAAGGCACATAAAGAGTATGGCACAGTAACTGAACAGATTCTATACCTTTTTCTGTTCATTCACCCTACTGTCTGAACATAGTAAACCTATTACTGTATCTCAGCAGAAGACCAGAGAGAATGAAGGAAAAAAAGAATAGCAAATTTACATTTTTCAGCCTAGTGTCTTTTCTGAAAAGACAAAAGGGCAAAGTTAAATTAGATGGGAGAACAGATAAAAAGAGAAATGTGAGAGTTCTAATATCAGTATTTATACATGTGTCTATTTTTAAAATGCCAGTGGTTCAAATCCTTAGTAGCATCAGAATCTGCCTCAGGTCAAGTTAAAACAGATTACTGGGACCCTCTGGAGAATTTCTGATATAGTGATGGAGGTAGTGGTGGGGTGAAATCTGAGAATTTGCATTTCTAACAAGTTCTCAGTTAATGCTGTGAGTCTAGCAACCACAATTTTAAAACTACGCACTATATTACATAAATTCACCCTTATCTAGCTACAGTACATAAAATTATATACTTTCCCTGGGAACTAGAATATGAATAAAAGAGTTCCTTCAGAGGTTAAAGAGATATAAAACTTGGGCCGGGGATTTAGCTCAGTGGTGCAGCCACCTGCCTTGCAAGCACAAGGACCTGAGTTCAATCCCTGGCGCGCGCACACACACACACACACACACACACACACACACACACACACACACACACAAAGAGAGAGATATAAAATTTTCAAAGAAATATTAAATAAGATTTTTCCTTTATATTTTTAAACACAACATTTGAAACATATAAATACATGTATTTAAATTATAAAAAGCACCCAATTCTCACATGTAATCCATATAGCAACAACCAGTATCTTCAAATATAACTGATAAAATTATTTTAATATTAAACTACTTAACTGCCAAATAATTTCATGAGATTTAATTGTTGAAACACAAAAACTTTCATAATTAACATATATAGCATACTTAGGTTAAATTTTAATCTTTTATTCATTAATGCATAAACACTGTTTCAAAAAAACTAATCTAATAATATATGGATTAAGAAAAATAATCAAAACTTTCCAAGACATATAGTACAACTACTAAAAAGAAAGAATACAAAGTATTTTATTCTAAATTTATCAAGTTCAGTTATTTTATTATATAAAGAAAGAAGAAAAGTTTAGATCGGTATAGGTAGATCATTCTAAAGTAGGTTTTCAAAAATAATAAAATAGTCTTCCATGTCACACAAGTTATTATATACAATAAATATTGGCAATGAAGTAAAATCTTACCCAGATCTAGTCGTTTTGAATTCCACCTTGAGGATAGGTTTGCATGGTTCTGGCTTCTTTCCATCCTTTAACTGTTTTCCTAAAATAGATTTTCTTGAATTAAATTCTAAAATTCTAAATTACTCTAATACATTGATAATTCTGAAAAGGAAAGTGAAATATAATGAAATACACCACCAAAACATTTTAACATGATTTTGAAATGAGTGTCTAATAAATAGTAAGATAATTTTAAATGGCTGAGCAAATTACTGTTTGAAATTCAAAATTCACTGCTAACAAGCAAACAAAATAAATAATTATAAAAAGTTTATGTGATAAAATTCTAGTAACAGAAAAGATAGTCTTTCCAATGTTTTTAATTACGGATAAAATATAATTTCAATTTGCTAGATGAAAATAAGTTTTAAAATAGTAAGATTTGAGTAAAATAAATCTATATCATATTTCCACCCAAAATGTGAAAGGTTACAAAATTAAGCCTTATGTTAATAAGTTCATTTATGTTTATTCTCCTAAAGTAAAACTCATCCATCAATTCTAAAAGACTGCTAAAATACACAAATTTTACAAAACAAATCTGAAACTCGTTTTATTAAAAAAATTTTTATTTTTTAAGTTTGTGATTTTCATTATCAACTTCTGGATGTTCACTGTAAAAACCATAGATAACTAAAAAAATCTATTTTTCATTTTTTAACAGATTAATTACTCTCAAGATTATTATATTTTTTTCCCAGCATGTACCAAACTTGAGGATGGCCTTGGGAAGCCCAAGAAATACATCTCTACCAAAAACATCTTATCCCCTTTCACAGCTTTTTTTTTTTCCTCACTTACCATATTCTAATATATTCTATGTTTACTTCTTTTTTACCCAACCAACAAGAATGTAAATTTCAGGAAAGCAAGTAGTTTCAAATTTGTGTGTGTCTAAGTGTTCTGCTGATTCTCTAGTGGCTAACACTGCTTAGAATACAGTGAGTTTCAATAATTATTTAATTAGTGAATAAATTAGTGGCTATTTCCATGGAGTAATTCTGAGAAAAGGGATAATTGGGTAAAATACAATTCCAGAAAGTCTGTTGCCAATTTAAATTTCTACCAGCAGTCTAAGAATATTATACCAATGGACAATTAACTAGAAAGACAATTTTGAACATATATGTATCTAATATCAGAAAACCAAAATTATGGCATAAAAGCAAATGAAAATAAACAATTCAACAATAAAAGTTAAAGACCTTAATACACTATTTTCAATAATGTATAGAATAAGTAAACAGAAGATCAACATGAAAATAGAAGATCTAAACAACTTAAATTACCAAGTCCTCACAGACATGATAGAGTATGCTACACCTAACAAAAATAGAATATACATTCAAGTAGATGTAAAATATTTTCGTGTAAAACCATATGCTATGCCATGAAGTAAATCTCAATAACAAAATGTAAAGGTTAAACAAATACAAAGTAAGTTTCCCTACCAAAACAGAATAGAATTAGAGATCACTAGCAAAGAATAAAATTGAGATACTAAAAACATTTGAAAATTAATGTATTATTAAAATACCCAGTGGGTTAAAAGTAAAAAATCAAAGAGGAGACAAGGATTTAGATCAGTGGTTCTCCCACCTGGCTTGCAATCACAAGGATCTGAGTTCGATTTCTAGTACTGGAAAAAAAAAATCAAAGAAAAATCATAAGACACTCTGAGATGAAACTGACAAACCTGCAGTTAAACTGACTAGGAAAAAACTCAAATTGGGCCGGGGATTTAGCTCAGTGGTTCTGCTGCCTGCCTCGCAAGCACAAGAACCCAAGTTTGATCCCTGGTACCAAAAAAAACAAAAACAAAAAACAAAAAGCCTCAAATTAAAGAATCAGAAAAAGAAATATGAAGGAATCTATGAAAAATTATGTTAGCTAATGAGATCTGTAGAGAAAATGAACAAGTTCCTAAAAAGACACAATTATTAAAAGTATCCAAAAGAAACAATCTAAAAAGACCAGTAAGTGAAGCGATCAAAGAATTTTTTAAAACTACACAAAAATGGGGCCGGGGATTTAGCTAAGCAGTTCGGTGGCCTGCCTTGCAAGCGCAAGGACCGGAGTTCAATCCCTGGTACCAAAAAAAAAAAAAACTACACAAAAATAAGAACCCATACTCTGATGCCTTCATTGCTGTATTATGAAGGATACACACATACACACACACACACACACATACACACACACACTCTCTCTCTCTCTCTCTCTCTCTCTGAAAAGCATTTTAGGGACATTCTTTAGAAATATAAAAAAACTGTTTCCAAGTTTTTATATTCAATCCTAAAAGTTTTGTCCACAGCAACAAAAGTGCAATTCCTCAGAAGTTTGTACAAGAATTGCACCTGTAACATAATTTGTAGTGATTAAGAAATGAAGCTAAACTGAATGCCATTAATTTGGAAAGGCTGAATAAATATGACACAAATAACTGGCTATTACAGAGTCACTGAAGATAGATGCCAGAAGACTTAGAGAGATTTCCTTGAAGTACAGTAGATTAAGAAAAGAAACATGCAAAACAGACTAACCAAAATATTGGTAAAACAATGACCACCAAAAACAGATACTATCAAAAGAAGATTAGGACGGTGTATTTTACATAAACACTAAAAGATTAAGCTTTTTTATCTTGCATAAAATCTGGCTAGGTATAAAATTCTTAACTTTTTTTCTTGCTCAATAGTCTCTAAGTATTTTTCAAATGTGTTCTACCATTCAGACTTACCATGAAGTTTAAGGCCAATCTCACTGTCATTTCTTTATAAGTTAACTTTTTCCCCTACAGGAATTCTGAGAGTTTCATTATTTCTAGACAAAATATGTTGCTGTTTTTATAGTAATCATCCTTTATTATGTAGCTTAGAAACTAATGTGTCCTTCTGAATGGCATATCCTGATCGTTTTTCAATTCAGGTGTTTGAAATTATGTCATTGACTACTGTTCCTGGTCCAGGAAAGTTAATTTATCTGTAATCCTAGGCTAACAATTTTTTATCAAATCAAGTAACAGGAAGAAGGCATGATTTTATAAAGCACATATAAAGAACATTTAGAGGATCACCAGATTTCACCACTAGGTGTCATTTTACTTAAGTACTATGACACTACAGAAGCAAAGAAGTGTTTTCTTTTTCCTTGCCTGGAGGAGTCACTGAAAAGATGCCACTAATCATATTTGACTCAATAAATCACAAAAAGCTATATGCCATATCTGATTTTTTATCTTTTACTATGCCCTACTTCCCCAGACCCCTTAACGGCTCAGCCACAATGAATTGATGTAAGTCTTATTGATACTAGTTCCAGAATTTTATCAATGCATTTCCATTTCTTCTCATTTCCTCTCACAACTGAAATCTTTATTATTTACTGTTTATAAATACAACAACTTCCTAACTAGTCACTCTCTTATGACCTCACGTCCCCTAATGTACCAGTACTAAAATGTAAATAGTGTATTTCACACTATAAACTCATTTACTAGGTTTCCATCATGAAGTTCAAACTTCTTAGCATACTTTGATGTACAGTCTGTCTAGTGTATGTGGCTGTTTTCTCCTGCTACTCATTTAAGGAAATTTTAAACTCTGGTTATATCAGACTATTAGAAATTTTCTAAAATACCCTGAGTTTGATTATTTCGTTGTGCTTGTATTCCTTCTCACTGAAATAACCTTGCCTTACTCGTTTCGTATAGCACACATCCCTGTAAGACCCAGCTAACGTCCTAAAGTCCTAAATTATTCCTATACCCTTCAACCAAAATCGTAACAACTACTACTTCTTCGCTTCACATTGTATTATGTTTGTCTTTATCAGCACTTATCACAAAGTTTACAGTTTCAGATTATAGATGAGTTTTATTCACTTGACTATAAGCTCTAGCAGGGCAATATATTCCCACGATTTAATCTCTTGTCACACAGAAGATATTCAGTAAATGTCTGTTGAATAAATAAAGATTCACGAAAAAAGTGAAAACTACTGAGAAAAATGAGTTTTAATAATTTTGCCAATTAAAATGTAGGATATATTTTTCCAACTGATATAGGTGTTACACTGTACTCAGTGAGAGCAGCTGTCCAGAATGGTAGCCATTAGTTGCATGTGGCTGCTGGGCACTTGAGAGGTGGCTAGCGCAAGATAAAATGTGTTGTGCTTTTAATAACAGTTCAACAAGAATGTGAAAAATAAATCTCAATTTTATATGTTTGATTACATGATGAACATTTTTGCATATTGATAAATGAAATTTATTATTAAATTTAATTTTACCTGTTTTGTTTTACTGTTTTTAATTTGGTTACAATATAAAATTACATGTGCAGTTCATGCTTGTATGTCTATCGGACAGTGATTTCTAGAAAATAAAATGAGTGAAGAATCACATTGTTAATGGTAATACTAATCTGAAACGGTCGGGGTGGTGTACTTTTCCTAGTGAGTATGGATTGAAAGGTGGGGTCTGGATATGGCTGAATATATGGCTTTTAATCCTTGGCCAAGATAAGGCTAATGGGACCTATGAAGTGTTGTTCAAGGTCTAAACTCCCCTAGAAGCACCCAGAGTACTGATTCGCAAGGCTGGATAGATCATTTAAAGGGCCTCCCTGTGAGTTTCTTTTCAAGAAAAAGGCTTTTCTCAGAAGCCACATCTTTTTTATTGAAGCTGAAGACTCTGCACAATTCTTGCATGTAAGTAAGTGCCCATGGGATATTGCATAGGAGATGCTTCAGGATGATTGCCTGCACTCCCTTTCTCCTTCTGGTATGCTCTGCCTATAAATAAAACCTATATGAGCATGTTCTGGAGTCAGGTAAGTCCTTTCAAATATATAAAGAGGAAAAAAGCATAAATTATATAAAGCCTCAGGTATTAATTTTTATGCTTCTTAGTGACCTTAATAGAATAAAAGTTCCACAATCTTGTTTCACATTTTATAAATGGACTGAATGCACTGATGAATACACTCTAGAAACTGAATTTTAAAATGTCACTTCCTATTGTGGACATCTATTGATTTTTGACTGTCTGACACCTCCCTTTCCTTAGAAAACTACCTTATTCTTGTGAAGGCAACAGAAAATCTGATTCTACAACATACCATTCCCATTCTAGAGTTATGGAGATAAGTGGGTCTCTGGCCCAGCAAATCACACAACCAGGATGACTGCTTCAGGATAAAAATATGAGACAATCCAGGACTATCAAAGTTATTTCCTCCTAAATAATGGAAGTCACAAGAGAGAAGAAAGAAGAACAGTGTATCCCAAACATAAATATAGAATCTACAGATAACTGAAACAATTGTGCAGTCAGTTTATGGAGCCGAATTCCACTTAATTTCCACGTATGCTCAAAACTTTATACCTTAAAAGTTATCTCATTCAATCCTTCCATTTTCCATATAATGAAACTAAGTTCCAGAGAACAGAAATAATATAAAATACTCACATGTAACAAAGTCAGAATTAGATTTGACCACCAAGCTGGAATATGTTTTTGTATATTCATAAAAATTAGATAAAAAGACTATCACTTTGTGTTTGTTTTAGGTAGTCAAAAATCACCTGTTGTATTTTTGTATTGAAGAAAATGTTTAATTTTAATTCAGTATTTCCAAAACTTATGATATACTCCTTAAACCAAAAAACTCAACATCAACAATAAAAATTGTATTTGTAAACTTATTTTGGGAACACTATTCTAATATATTCTGAGAAGTAAGTAATAATTCCCAGATCTGCATTTACCAGAATCACTTACTCATACTACATCAAGGTCAAAGATTTCCACTTCCACACTGTTTATTTGATCCATGACCTAGAACAGTATCTACCACACAGTAGAACCAATAAATATTTGATGAATGAATACAGTCCCCAAACAACAGCCATATGAGACTAGATTAAAATTTTGCTATTATTTCCACTTATAGATATGAATGATGAAGTTCAGAAATGTTAACTAACTTTGCAAAGATTACATAGCCAGAAACTATGGAACTAAGTAAGACTTTACCACAAGTCTTCAGGTTCTTCAATGTTTATTCCTTAATGTATCAAAATATATTTAGCTTTGCAACAAACTCAATTGTAAACATATATTTGCTCTGGTAGGTTACTTACTGCCAGAAGTAAGCTAAGAAGTAAGCAATAAACATTACAACTATGTGAAAGAATTCATATTTTATAAATATAAATAATATGATGCATGATTGAAAAACAGTCAAGTTTACATTTTTAAATTATTTACAGTAAAACATATTGGCCAGCAAAAGTTCTGGAAGCCCTCTTTCATGATTGTCTTTAGTTGTATTTTACTGGCTGACTTAACATCCTGAATTGACTCAAAAGGTTTACCTTTCATGATTTTTGGCTTTCAAAAAGAGCCAGAAATCCCACAATGTAAGATCCTGGGAATAAAGTAGATGAGGACACTTCATAATGTTACTAAAAGCATGCATTTCCAATGGATGGAAGTTGGCAGCAGCAGTCACCTTATTTTTATACTTCATAAAGACACAAAAGAAGACTTCCAGAACTGTTACAGAAAGTGGCAAGAACGATGATGTGTGTTTGAACTGAGTATGAGTAATGTGAGCAAGACTAATGACAATGTATGCTTTACTACAATTAATTTTTTAACAAGGTCCCAAGTTCGATCCCCAGTACAAAACAAAACAATTATTTTTCTAAAATTTAAATGTTTTATTTAAATAAAATTAATAATATAAAATAAAATTCTGACCATCTATATTTACATAATTAAATTGTGCAACAAAAGCCACTGTACTTTTTAACACTTATCAGAGAAAAAAATATATTTGATTTACATTTTGTTTAGATTCTAATTTTGAGAAAACTTAGTAGGTAAATCAAAATTTGTCTTATTGATTTACAAACAATTTTAGTTAGTGGGTCTTTTTCACTAAGGCACCACAAACATTTTAGAAACTGACTTACACTACACTTCCGAAATTCTGCTCTGAAACACCCAAGTTTATAGTTCAGTAGTATAAAAAAGAACCAAGATTAAATAGAAAAAGCATCCTTTGGCACTATCACAGTAATAATTCAGCCAAGAAACATCAACAGATGCTAAAACTAGAGGGTGAAAGTCTGATGAGGAACAATATGCAAATAGTCTCAAAGAAATGCCTTCAAATCAAAATAATTATAATACAAATGAAAATACTTATTAATTTCAAAGGGGAAAAGAATAATTTTGTAAGAGACATAGCATACATAACTTTAATCAAGGGATCAGAGTATATACATAAAAAACAAGTTCCACTTGAGAATATGTAAAAAGGATTTATCAATCTTTCTGGGATATGCCTGATGAAAAAAGTATAATCTGAATCTAATCATGAAGAAATATCCAAGAATACTGAGGCACACTGCACAAAGTAACATGTAGCTTTTATAATTTATCAGATAAGAAACTCAAGAAAAGGCTCAGGAACTGTTCCAGTTTTAAGGATTGAAAAAGAAATACTACATCTAATTCACAAAAATGATTCATGATAAAAAGCAAAGTTTAGTAGTATAGGAAAATTACCTCATTTATAGAAAAAAATACATAAAAAGTGTGTGTGTGTGTGTGTGTGTGTGTGTGTGTGTGTGTATACACACAATGGAATGCCTGGGGGAGATTGGATACCATGTTAACATCTCAGTGTGAAATAGTTACAAAGAAAAAATATCCCTGGTATTATTCCTTTTGCTCTGTTTTGTTTTGCAACACTGAGGACTGAACCCAGGTCCTTGAAAATGCTACCCAAGCATCTTAACATTGAACTACATCCCTAGTTCTGTACTATTTATTCTTTTTTAAAAAGGTAAAAAAGAAAAGCTTCAAAATATGAAATCAATATATATTTCTATCATCTGTGATACGTTTCATTTTCATCTGAGTTTGAAACGAAAGTTTTCTGGATGAATAAGCTCCAGAAGGACTGGGAGATTCTAAGATTTATGAGAATATCAGGAATATCACAATTACGGACTTAGGTAGTATGGAAGAAGAAAAATAATATAAGAAAAACTGGAACCTATTATCATAAGGAATATCCTTTAGATTTACTCCTATGTAGGTCTATAGCAAATTTTTAAAAAGTGCTTCTCTAGAAGACGACTGTTGTCACAAAGCAGCAGTGAAGTACATCCTTGCATGTGGTGTGAAGATTTGTTACTCTTCACAGAAAATGACCAAGCCCAAAATCCTATACTAAAACAGACAAAAGTAGTTTTTAATTTTATGATTTCCTTAATTTCTATGATGCAATAATTCAGAATGTATTAAAGTGGGTATTCATATCCTAAATAAAACAATGAAATATTAGAATTCAGTTACAAGAATTCTATGTAGAAGTTTCTTTAACATGATTGTCTAAACTTCTTAGGAAGGACTCTCTTGGGTTGGGAAAAGGGGCGTTGAAAACACAGATTAAAAAGAAACACAGATTCCAAAATGAAAAGAAGGGCTTCTTAATGTGATTTTAATAAGTATCCCAATAAAAATTTCTTAAGAGATTTTTAAACTACTTTTTGTGCGGAAGCAAGTTCACACAGTAGGCATAAAATTAGGAAAATCTAATTGTAAAGTCGGTTTCTGGCTGGTGTATGGGAATTTAGCTCTTGAGATAGATCCCATCATTCTATGACTGAAAAACTGGCTCACTGTGCCTAAATTTACAAAGAATATAAGTTATGTTGAACCCCTCTTTCCATCTGAGTGGAATTTTGGTACATTTTAATCCAAAGGATGCCTACATGACTGAACCCAAAAAAGATCTTGGACATTTATGTTGAAATAAGCTTCTGTGATAGATAATATTTCACATGTGTAGTAAAACAACTCATTGGTAGAGGAATGAAGCATGTCCCATATAACTCCATGGTGAGAGGGCTCATCGACTCTTCAGTGAGTCTGATTTTCTACACACTTCACCTCATGTGCCATTTCCCTCCACCAATTTTGCTGGAGGTCTTTTGCAGTAATAAATCACAGGAGTGAAAATCACCATATTCTGAGTCTTGTGAGTCTTCCTACTGAGTCATCAAATATGGGATGGCACTGGGGGTTCCCAATAAAATTCAAAATAAAATTACCTCCTACAGAGGTCCAAGTGTTTCAAGTACACTGATACATACATGTCAACAACTTGCAAGTGACAGCTTTAAGATGACAACAGCTACATCACTCATAAAACTTTGATTTTGGACCACTGAAATTATATTCGACAATAATAGAACATTCATTACATTAAATGCACATAATACTAATTCACTAAAATCTTTACAAATTCAAATCCAAACTAAATTGAAACAGTCTACTATCCATCACAATTTAGGTAGTGCATAAAATCAAAGTATTCTTACCATGTGGTGTGATTGTCTGTACAGGTTTTGCAGGGGACTTCACATTCCATATGGTTAAGGTGCCATCCGAATGACTGCAGATAAATTGTTTTCCTTCATGATGCCAAGCAACAGAGTGAATAGCCTACAGAAGAAAGGTGAAGAACTCCATCATCAAAATATGAATAATCTATTATTTTGCAACTTTAACTTAAAGTTTTTAAAAGTATTTTGCAAGATAAATAGGTTTAAACTTCATATTCCTATAAAAATTTAGCCCTCTGGCAATATAGATTTTATTCATATTGACACTACTTGATTACTTTTCATTACTTTATCCCTAAGGCCAGCAAAAGAACGATATGACAATGACTTACACACTACTCAAATTCAGGAACACAAATTGCATCATCTTACAGTTTTTCAAATAAATCATAAACATAAATTGCCAAGTTATTAAAACCAGTATTTTACTATTGAAAAGACTAGCTGTACTAACAGTTTAGACCAAATTTTTTAAATTAACTAAGCAACAAAATACAGATTTGGAATGAAGATCAATAAAATACCTTAGGATGAACTTCAAGACATGTTCCCTATCTCTCTCGGTGATTATTGGGTCAGTTTTTAATCTGAGAAAACCTTCTGACCAGAAAATTATTTCATACTTCAGAGTCACTTAAAAAAAAAAAAACTTACCTGGAAAACATTTTTATATAATGGAAAGATTTTTGTCCTAATATTTATTATTATTCTTTGTCAGTAAATTAAAAACAAAACTGCTCCATTAGATTCCTTTTGAATTACTTGAAGTTGATATATTTTGTCATTCTTATTGGCCAACTGACTTTAAAAGCTGCCCAACTGAAATGTCAGACTGCAGAACATAGTATAAAAAACATGCATCTGAAACTCAAAGAGTTCAGATATATACAAATTCAACATTTTCTATCATCTCATTCAATGTCCAATTATTTGAGTCTTTGTGTATTTATAAACTTAAACTACATAGTATAAAATATGTTTTCTGCTAAAGACCAGAAGGAAATATTTAAATGACAAATGCTGAGAATTAACTGTATTTCTAAGTACCAATAGTTAATAGAATTTTTTTAATCAAAGTAACAAAATTCTAAGTAAAATTCTAAAATATTAATGAACTACTTCCTAAGATATATGTATGATACCTCAAAAAAATTAAATCTTAAAATAAACAATCTCTTCATAAGATCTCTAAAATGAAATTATTTCCACAAAATATGAGTAATGCTGCGAAGCTATAAATTACAATAAATTACTTGAATATTTTTATAAAATTAATAAATACAAGAGAGGCCTATGCTGCTGCCTGGAACCTATAAAACTTTTTAGTATTATCATATATAAAGTGGGCTATGTATGTAACTGTATATAAATACAGAATCAAGATAGCTACTTATCAAATTCTACAATAACTAATTCAAAATAGGATGGAAATAGAAACTGAATACATTCTCTACCTATTATTTTGTGCACTTAGTGGTATTAGTAGAATGACTTCACGGTAAAGGCTGTCAAATCCTAATCTTGCTATTTACATTACTCACAGTGATTACCATTTTTTGGCAGACATACACTATAAACTGTTCTACAAGGTAAGATTTATTCTTCTATTCGAAAGTAATATTAGTTTCCAAAGTCATTATCTATTGTTGCTTCAATCTTTAGACAAATACTAATCAAGGCTGAAAGAAAACTTATAATAGAGACCTTTCTTTTTGCAGTAATACTAAATATTGAAGTCACTACCATTGTCCTGAACTATTGTGTCTAACCTCTTTCATTTTGAGATACAGGGCTATGATAAGGTGCTGAGCTGCCCAGGCAGGGATTAAATTTGTAAGGCTCCTGCATCAGCTTAACAAACACCTGGGATTAAAGGCATACAACAACATACCCAGTTAATAACAGACTTTAATATTAAATTGTAATGTTTACAAATACAAGGAAAGGAAATACTAAATGCTTGGAGCTATGAATGACTTAGTTCTGCATATATAAGTAATACATTAAGTTGTGTTTCTGCCTTAGTAGTGTAATTTGTGATCTTTTCAATAATCCATTATACAAAGGAGACAACAGTAATACTGTATTACTTAAATAAAGAAATAAATGAATCATACAAATTGTAAGGTAGTTGAAAAAATTACAATTGGACATTAAATTGTGTATAGATTATATATAACAATTTAAATATATATATAATATATATAATGATTTTAAACACATATAAATAGAATACATTGCAATTTCCATTAAAAATAAAACCCACAATTAAAATTTCAACAGTGTAATTCACAGAACTAGAAAAAATAATGCAAAAATTTATTCGGAACCAGAAGAAACCTAGAATAGCAAAAGCAATTCTAGGCAACAGAGACATGACAGAGGGTATCACAATCCCCAGCTTGAAAGTATACTACAAAGCCACTGTGATTAAAAACAGCATTGTACAGGAAAAGAAACAGACCCAAGGATCAGTGGAATAGATTAGAAGATATAGAAACACTCCAGATGTACTCAGCTACCTAATTTTTGACAAAAGAGCCAACCATTCACACTGGAGGAAAGATAGCCTTTTTAATAAACTGTGTTGGAAAAACTGGATTTCAACCTGCCAACAATTAAAACTAGATCCTTGTCTTTTGCCATGCACTAAACTAAAATCCAAGTGAATTAAAGATCTAAATATTTAAACAGAAACACTAAACTTGCTAGAAGATAAATTAGGTAGAACGCTCAAAGACACTAGCATAAAAGTCTTTCTGAACAAATCATCAGTAGCACAGGAACTAGCACAAAGATTCAAAAACTGGGATCTCATCTTATTAAAAAGCTTCAGAACTGCAAAAGAAACCAGAAAGAATGGCTGCTATCAAGAAATGAACCAATAACAAATGTTGGCAGGGTTGTGGGGAGAAAGGAACCCTTCTCCATTGTTGGTGGGAGTGCAGACTGGTGCACTGTGGAAATCAGTATTGAGATATCTCAAAAACTAGGAATAAAGGTCCCATTTGACCCAGCTATTCCTCTGATGGGAATCTTCCCAAAAGAATTAAAAGCATCATACCACAGCAATATATGCTCACCCATGTTTATAGTGGCACAATTTGTAATAGCTAAAACTTGGAAATAGCCCAATTGCCCATCAACTGCAGGCTAGATAAAGAAGATATGGATATTTTTTATAAAATGGAGAGCTACTCAGCCATAAAGAATGAGTAACTACAGTCGTTTATAGCCAAAGGATGCACAATGAGGCAATGCTCTTAAATGAAATAAATAGTATACATATGTGTAAATACTGAATAGTTTTTCTTGTGTAAAAAACTAAAAGTGTAAATAAGGTTCAAATTGTATAACTGATAATGTGAAATAGGAAGAAAAGGGCTAAAGGAGTAGAAATGGGAAGGGTAGGGGAAGGAAAAGAAGTAAAAAGAAAAAAATCTAAGAAAAGGAAAAAACATAGAAACAAAGTCTTTGTAAATAGGAAAGGGTAGAGGGGTGAAGGGAGGGCAGGGGTATGGGGAAAAAATATGAACCAAGATACATCATGTAAAGGTGCAAGATCCCAATGATGAATGTAACTGTGCTGTATACCTAAAAATTACTGATAAACTTAATGAAAAAATAAGTAAATAAAACCCAAACAGAACTTTCTTTGAAATTTAAAAATGTGACCAAAATCATCATTCCTTTAATTTTTTCTCTTTAGTGGGAACACAGAGTGAGAAAAAGAAAAATTAGCAGGAAAATCACTTGCTACTCTAAACATGGAAAACACCTTTAAAAAGGGTAACATTTGTACTTACAACTTAAAAATTTATTTAAAACTGTTATTAATTCCACTGCTGTGAGTTACAAATATTATCTCAACATTCTTTTAAAAAAGGTTTCTGAGACACAACACACCCCTCCTCTCACACGAGCAAGCAGCCCCTCGATGGACAGTGGCCTCATGCAAGGGCAAAATCATCAAGCAACTTCAAACTGGCTCTAAATTTTGTTTCCTCATAGTACAGGTCAGCAGAGCTCATTTTCCATCTACCAAGGGCAGCAAAGACAAGCAATGGCTTGGACAGTAACCACAGTTCAGGAGGAATGGACAGAGGGTCCTCTGATGCAGGGCGGGCAACTTGAAATCCATAAGCCCTAAAAGTAGATGAAGAAAATTGCAACTGGCACAATTCCAAAAATGCAGATCTTGGAAAGCAACCACTCATTCCAAAATAGGAATTTTTTGTTCACACAATCTTTCTTTGATTTTTTTCTATTTTTTATTATTTTTATCATTCCAGTTTTTTTCTCCTTTTCTTCCCTCCTTAGCTTTCATTGCTCTCCTTTTCTCTTTTCCTCTTCCTTTTCTTTTATTTCCTGCATTTCACTTTGTTTACCTTTTTTTTTTTTTTTTTTTTTTTTTTTTTTTTTTTTTTTCCACATTCCAGTTTTTTTCTCTTTTTTTTCCTTTTTTTTTTTTTTTTTTTTGTCTTGTTTGTTCTTTTCAATTTCCCACATTCTGGAAATTTTCTGCAATAATTTCAATGAACTGACTTTTTAATGCTATTTTAAAAATTAATTTTATTGGTACATTTAATATATGCAATATAATGGCATTCAATGTTGAAAATTTGCACCTTTACATAATCTTGGTTCTTATTTTTTCCCCATTCCCCTGCCCTCCCATCCACCCCTCCCTCCCTGCCAAGCTACAAAGATTTTGTTTCCATTACTTTTCATTTTCTCCTATTAATTCCATTCCCTTCTTTCCTTTCTCTTATACCTCCTGTTTTCCCTTCCTCTTTGTCCCTTTTCTTCCTATTTCACATTATCTATTATACCTTTAAGTCCTTATTTATGCTTTCAGTTTCTCACACTAGAGAAACTATTTGGTATTTACACATGTGTGTCCTATTTATATCAGAGTATCACCTCAACGTGCATCCATTTAGCTATAAATGTTTCTAATTTCTCATTTTTTTATGTCTGAGTAGTATTCCATTTTATATTTTAAAAAAAAATCCACATAGTCTTTATCCAGTCTCCAGTGGATGGGCAATTGGGCTGCTTCCAAGTTTTACCTATTACATATTGTGCTGCTATGAACAT